GATACGTTATTCACGCYGGAGCAGCTAAGTCTCCTAACACCAGATCATATCTACAAGTTTTTTGCAAAGAAAGTGTTTGGTACTAGGGAGGATTGTGGTGTCAACAATAATTCTACTGAAGGCAGATCTTCAACCCTTGTTTACTACAAGAAGGTGTTATCCTATTTCATGCCAAACAAGCTGCACAAATGGACTGTTGTTGCTGGCATTGGCAGTGGAAATCCTGCAAAGTCCCAGCAAGTGAACAATTTGATTTCTGCTGTAATTAAGAAGGAAACTAGAGGCCTTGGTCAAGCGAGTAAGATGGATCAACCTCTTACCAAGGATGAGTTCTTGCAAATGCTTGAACTAACAGGGAACCACGGCCATCTAACTAAAATACTGCAATATCTTGCAATGATTTAGTTCCAGTTCCATCTGATTTGTCAGAATGATGATACAGCACATGTTGGAAAGGACAGCTTGGAAAGATCTGCTGAGTTTCCTAAATTTGTTACAGCAAAGATGAATTGGTCTAAGAATGTGAGAGAAGAGAGGGACTGTCCAAAACAGATCTTGCTTGGATCTATCGATCATCCATCTTGCGTTGTGCCGGGCTTGCCTTGTATCTTGAAAAGTGGTGCAAAGGCAATGGAGCAGCAAGTCAATGGCTACTCACTGAAGAAATTTTAGATAGGAGATCACTACTAAAGGATGTTGCAAAAGAGGTTAATAAAGGAAAGACTGGATACTCTAATTTCATTAAGCRCTATGYGTGTAACAATCCTGTCTTTATTCCAGAAAGACCACCATTGGAAGGGAAGCTTGGTACTCACTCCATTAGAAAGTTTAGCACAGCGTATGCTAGACAGCAGTGTGGTTGCTCATGGGATGATGTGGATTATATAGTGTGTTGGAAGTCCAGAAGGCAACAGGATAGATACACTGATACACAGCTTGCATGGCCTGACATTAATGTTCCTAGTAAGCTATGCTTTGGAGGAATCTGTCTGCACAAGCCCCTGCAAGGAACAGGAGTCACTGATGAATGGCCTGCTTCTTCAGTTGCACCAGCAATTGCTAATGTGTTTGGTAACCAAGTGGCAGCAATTCTAGGAAAGGCCTTGCTTTGGGCTTGCTTTGATCCAGCAATGAAAGCATCTGACTTGATTCCTGAAGACGTGAAGAGAGATGTTGTTGCTTCTTGGGTTCAACTCAATTACAGTCACCCAGTTGGTCAAAGATTTGATGCTGATGTGAACCCTATCATGCATGTTGAGCTGATTGCYAATGAGATCAGTGGGCAGGTCCAAATCAATGATCTTGCAGATCCAGATKATTTATTGGATGGTGGTGGTCGTGGTGGAGGGGGTGGAGCCCCTGGAGCTACTGGAGGGACTGCTGTTGGGATTCATAGTAGGACTTAGTTGCAGTGGAATCATGCAATGTTTTCCAAGCTGTTTGCCACAGCTAATCAAGTGAATGGTATTAAAAATAGGCAGATTGTAGCTGAAACAAAGTTCAATTGCAAGCTGAATAAAGCCATCAAGTTGTCCCAAAAAGCTGCAATGAGCCCAGTGGAGAGTTGAAGGCCAGCAGCCCGTGCGTTGAACAGTGGTGGCTTGTCAGATAGTAGCAAGACTGGAGTTTCTTAGCTGWGCAAGTGTCCTAATGATCTTTATGTCCTCTGGAATGAATGGGAAGTAGGTGTTGGTCTGAACAAGCCTGCCAAGGACTTTACTGCTGCTGAGCACGGCAGAGTGAAGAGCAAGTACTGCAGGAGGTTGAAGTTCTGGAAGTGTATGGAGCAGCTGATTTGTGCTGGTGCTTCTTCTGAAAGTGCTGTTAGAAGCATTTATAGTGTGTATGGAGGTCCTGGCAAGTGTGTCTCATATATTCTTAGAGCAATGGCTCCCCATGAAGCTAATGGGAGACACCACCACTTGCTCCGAGGAGGACCRACCGTTGCTTCTTAATCGTCGAGGCTGATGCTTGTTCTTTGTTGCATGTTCCTTACTACTTGTCCCCCCTTACATTAGTAAAAAAACATAAAAATGGTACTGTGTATCTATAATTTGTGAKTGTTTTGCTATCCTCAACAAGAGGACCATCTTAGTAGCTGACATGAGCGTCAGCAGTATCAGTKTTGTTGTTGGTTGTGCTATCGTGGTGATTGCTCTCCTGACTTGTGCTTTTCCATAGAATTTGCCTTGTGCACAATTGAGTGAGTACTTCTCATCAATCACCCCAATACTCCAGCACTCCAGTCTTGCTGTGCACTGTCTATAAGACCTACTACGCCCTTATGTACTGTGTTCTACAGGGTTGACAATTTAGTAATATTTTCTTTGTGTACTGGACGAGTACCACCGTTTTGCAACCCAGTTCTCAAAATTTTTCTACGCTATTCTGGTAGGGAATTCTACACAAATCCCCTAGAGGGCAGTATGTAAACTTGCACCACTCCATATACATGTGTACTAAAATTTCTACCACAGTTGTAGTAGAGAGTTTTACGTAGCAATAGTATCAGCACCTCAGCTGTGAAAGCTTGAGTTGCTRTTACCATCCCCAAAATCCGTTGAATATAGCGTTGAGTGCAACCAATTTTGCAACTGACATGACTAAGTATCAAGAACCAGCATGCTGCAACTGACACAAAACTGCTCACAAAATTAGAGCCGACTCCGTGTCTTAAGATTAGTACTAACAGCAAACAAGCAAACAAGAAYTCAGTTCCTTACAGACAAGATGAAGTGGTCTAAGAATGTAAGGGAGGAACGCGATTGCCCAAGACAGATCTTGTTAGGATCAATGGACCACAAGGCGTGTGTAGTACTTGGTCTTGCTTTGCTTCTAGAAAAATGGTGCAAAGGAAATGGCGCCTCGAGTCAGTGGTTGTTTAGTGATGGAACTACTGATAGGAGATCAAATGTTGCTGCTATGGACAAAGAAGTTCAAAGAGGAAAGAAGTCKTACTCATCCTTTATAAAGAAGTATGGGTTTGTGGATGAAACTTTCRTTTGCGAGAGACCAGAAGTGGAAGGCAAACTCGGCACCCATTCCATAAGGAAGTTTGGAACAACCTATGCCAGACAGTGTGGTTGTACAAGAGATGATGTTGATTATAGGGCGCGTTGGAAGTCTTGAAGACAACAGGATCGATACACTGATACCCAGCTTGCTTGGCCTGATATTAATGTCGAATCTGTTGCACCTTCTATTGCAAGTGTCTTTGGTAATCAAGTTGCAGCAATTCTAGGGAAAGCTTTACTTTGGGCCTGTTTTGAGCCAGCGATGGAGGCTAGTGGCTTAATTCCCACAGATGTGAAGAGGGATGCTGTTGCTTCTTATGTTCAGCTCAGCTTTAGGCAGAATCATCAAAATATTGATGAGGACACTGTGAATCCTATTGAAAGAGTAGAGATGATTTGTAATGAAATTGGTGGGCAAGTTCACTTTGATGAGTTAGCTGATCCTTATGGTGGTGGCGGTGATCCTGCTGCTGGTGGAGGTGGTGGAATTAGAAGAACTCAGTTGCAATGGAAGGCTGCAATGTTCTCAAAGCTCTTTGCTACTGCAAATCAAATTAATGACATTAAGAACAGGCAAATAGCTGTCAAAGCAAAGTTCARTAGGAAGCTTAATCAAGCAATCGCGTTGTCTCAAAGAGCAGCAATGTTCCCTTCTGTAAGAAGAAGGCCGCCGGCAAGGGCAGTCGGGAATAGCGCTGGAGCTGGTGCTGGTGCTGGAGATGAAGGTCTTGCAGAACTCACCAAGTGCCCCAGAGATCTTTATGTCCTTTGGAATGAGTGAGAAGTTGGTGTTGGTCATAATAAGCCTGCRAAGGAGTTCACTGCTGCTGAGAGAGGTCGTGTAAAGAGCAAGTACTGCAGGCGATTGAAGTTCTGGAAGTGCATGGAGCGGCTGATTTGTGCTGGTTGTTYTTCTGAAGTAGCAATCTGTAGGATCTATACTGTGTATGGAGGTCCTGGCAAGCACGTTTCTGCTATCCTTAGAGCTAGTATGGCTCCCCATGAAGCTGCTGGAGGTCACCACTTGCTCCGTGGTCCTCCTGCTGATTGACCACGTCGACGAGTCGGTGCTTTGTTCTTTATTATTTGTGTTCCTTACTACTTGTCCCCCCCCTTATATAAAAAAAAACATAAAAATATTACTGTGTATATGTGATTTGTGAGTGTTTTGCCGCTATCCTCAACAAGAGGACCATGATCTTAGTAGCTGACAGGAGTGTTGGTATCGGTGTTGTCGTTAGTATCGACGTGATTGTCGAGAATTACTCTCCCAACTTGGTTTTTTTTTCATAGAATTTGCCTTGTGCGTGATCATGTGAGTACTTCTCCTCAATCCAAGTGATACTCAAGCACTTCAAGTCTTGATGCGCACTGTCTGTAAGACCTACGAGTCTTCTGTACTGTGTTCTACATGGTTGCAAAAATAGTTACATTTTACGTCTGTACCAGTCTAGTACGAACCGTATTCTCTGTCTGCCAAGAATGAAAAATGGAGGTAAAAACGTCGTACGGTACGKTACGTAGCGGCCCGAATACTAGAAATACGAAATACAGTACGACGATTATCTGGTATGTACGCGATGTACCTTACTGTATGGTAGGTGTAGTTTCAACAAATCGTCATGCACCTTTTCTTCCTCATAACGGAGAGTTGATTTTTTGATGCGCCGAAAAACACTTAGGGAAAATGTGTCTTGGTCTTCTTGGGCGGAATCCGGAAGTGACGTACCCGCAACGTAATCTTACCGCTATTTTGAGCTGTCCGTTCTCGTAGCTCTGTACCTTTCGCGCGCATTTGAACAGACAGGAAAAAACGAATACGCGCAGGCCGGCAGCAACCAAACCGCCTACCAACTTTTTCAACATCTATTTTTAGGACGGCGAACAATCCACTTGAGCATTGCTCTGCTTGAAACCGGATCAAAATCAAATCACAAACAACAACGGCTAATTGGATCTCTTCATCCGTTTTGTGTCGTTTCACAGCGAGTATCGCATCGAAACTTTCTCGAGACGAGTTCGAGAGTAATTCTCTCCACAACTGATGCTTTGTCAAACATCTGTCACCTCTTTCACTCCTCTAACTGAATAAAAATTGAACCGGATTGAATGACTGAGAAATAGGAAAGAAGGGCGTCGAACAGTTATTCCGACTAATTACTGATTTTGTTTTGAAACAAAATATCGGAACCATAAGATAGATCGGCTTGATCCAACATGGAAGGCAACAACTCATTTGATGTGGAGGAATTTGAAAGMGATCATGGAATCTTGGACTCGACAGCATGGTCAAAGGTAAAAGTGGCTTCCAGATCTAAAGAAACAAAGATGTATGGACGAAGCCGATTCCGTGACCCCTCTCTGTCTTACTTCGATAGCGATCTGAGAAATCCTCTAGCCGAGGACGAAGATGAAGACACAGACGTAGAAGACCAGCAATCGAATTCGATGAGTCCTGTTGACTACTCAAGTTTCGGTCGAGGCTACAGCATCACGACACCGCCAACTCGGAGGACAAAAAAGTTTGTCAGAGCAAAGTCAACATCGGATGCATCGCCTCCAATCTCAAGGCCAAGGCGATTGACGCAGATGATCAGGTCGCAGTCTGTATCAACCTTCAATCCACAACGAAGCATTTCTGCCGCTTGTCGGTCATTTTCGATGGGACAAACTGACTATGAAAACTCCAACCCAAATTTGAGCACCCTACCTAGTGATGACGAAGATTACACGTCTCCAAAGCGATTAGCGGACACCGATGCTACACAAAAAGGTCGTAAAAAATCCAAATCGGCAAAACATTCATTCCWACGCAATAATGACTTCACTTCGCTCTACAATGACAATTATGAAACCAAATTTCCCTCATTTGCATCCGATTCTTTTTCGAACTTGGCTCGTAACCATATCGAATGTCGGCCAGGTTGGGGAAGGGTTTCTAATGGGAACCTATCTAGCAATCGTAATCACGGCAAAGACGGCAAAGTTCGCAGGCGATCATCCAGTAGTGACTTTATCTCCCCTAGATCTTTTTTGTACAACGACGAGACAATGGAAAGTGCGGACTCGATATCTTCGCCAAGTATGAGCATGAGCTCTTCAACAAGAAAGCGAGGGGTTTGCAAATCGCGATTTTTAACGGATGACTCCCCTGTTTCTCGATCACGATCAAGGATTTCATCGCCACCGCCGTCATCTGTCATTGGCTCTGCATCGAAGTTGATGGATCTCTCTTTCCATTCGATTAAAAACACTGCAAAGTCCGATAGAATGATGTTAGAATTAAATGTTACGATGAGCGATGATGATGTTAATGTTTCTGGAGAATCAGATATTTCAGTGGATAGCGACGACGATGTGATGGTTATGGATAATCTGAATTCCCAAATAAGAGAAGGTCCTTTGTCTACCAAGAGTGGTCGACTTTTTAATTTTGAAAAAGCTTCTGTCGACGACGTCACGAAATACATGCCGTCATACGAAGATATTGAGTTCCTAATGAATTCCCTTCAACAAAATTTCAGAGGACAGGGTGGGTGTCTCAGCTGGAATGTTGCGCCACCTGTAGACTGGCCTGCGAAACGCCGCGATTCCTTTTTTCAGGCAACTCGTAAACTTGGGTTTACGTTCCGAGCAGGCGGTGGGAAAGTTTCGTACATTCAGATATCGAAAAAAAGAGGACGTGGTCTGCTGTCGTTACTTGAGACAAGTTTAGCAAATTATGGCGAAAGAGAAGTAGGGAAAAGCACACCCACTGCCGAAGGAATCAATACCTCTATGAATTTTACCTTTCTCTCAACAGTAAAGAAGAAACTGAAGTCAGCAACRAGAGTCTCAAAAATTCTAAGATTGACACCGAAAGAGTAAGTGCTTCGTCCATAATTTGTTCCGAGATGTTTTTTAATGCCTTGCGCTTTCTCTCATTTCTTAACTTTACTTCATGTACAATTTAGGTTGGCGCTCAACTCTCGGTTCGAGAAATTCAAGGACACCACGGACGAGTTGACGCAATTCATGAGCAAATTAGATATGAACGACGAGTCTCAAGCAATAGAGAATGACAACAATGATAAGGAGTGCCTTTTCGATATGAGCAATGGCCATTCTCGAACTGGTGTGCCAAGAAAATCTCTAGACCATCATTCAAGTTCCTCGGATTTGAATGCTCAAATGCATGGAGCAACTCCTGTCCCACACAGAGGGAGGGGACGACCTCCTCGGTTGTCTTTGCAGAGTGCTTCATCTGCTAGTATGGATACGCAATCTCCATTTGTAACGAACTCTCATTTGTCGAAGCCCGCTCACATCGATACTCACGTCAGCTGTGGAATGAATGCCAATGACTTTGTCTCGACGTAAGTGTTTCCTGTCCGTTCGCAATTCTCGATTCAACCACTATTTCCGATTCAAACTCTAACTTGTTATTGTTACATATAGACCATCGGTTGGACGTCAGGGCGATTGGGGATCTCGCCCTTTTAATGACCGTGACTGGGGGACTTCAGAGCAATGTGAGGCAGTRATTATTAAGAAACTCTTTGATCGCTTCAAGRAGCTTCAGAAAAATGCTGGGCTCGATGTGGGGGAGGATCAAATTTTGTCATGCAATGATGTTGAATCATCGTTCCTTGACTTCGGTGCTGTTAGTCAATTTAGTGACGATCTTGTGAGTCCAATCTCATCATCAGCCATTGATGCTGGAATCACTGAGCAAGCTATATCCTGCGAGGTATCTCTGCTCGATAACCATGCTTCGGAACGGGTGAACGAACCATTTCCGAGCCGTGTACTCAGGCGTCGGCAAACAGCATTTGCGAAGCACCGGCGTATGTCTTTGTATGCCTCCGCGATGAATCCTGCTGATACCTTTGCAAAGCGCAGAAAATCCCTTTTCGTCCAACAGGCCAGTGCGCTACCTGCTACAACCAAAAACTTACTTTTGGATAGCGCCCCAGAATTTTTTTCGCAGTACACTTCTGATACAAATGAATCTTCTTTTGAAAAAGTCGGCGCTCATGAAGAATCACCTTTGGAAAATCAGCAAGTCCTACGCACGATTTTTGATTTCTTGGAAGAAAGGGAGCTGTTTCTGATTGCAAGTTTAGTGTCTACAAAATGGTCTGATGTAGCAACTGAATCGCATGCGAACCTTGTACTATCAAGTGTCGCCAAATGTAAGGAGGAAAAGCTAGAAGAAAATGAAAATACAAGAGGTTCGCAGCGTTCGTGGGAGTACTTGACGACAACATTTCCGTGGGCCTGCTTCCTCTCGGAAGGTGCTTTCAAACGTGTCTATAAAGTGTTCAACAAGACTTGCGAAATTGAAGAGGCAGTATCCGTGATGTAAGTGGAATCTCTTTTGTTGACGAACAAATTGTTCGTATTCAATAAATTTCTWATATTTTTAATTTAATTCCACAGGAATGTGCAACAAATTCATTCCACAGGAAACATTAATGTGGTTGGGGCTGAATTGGCAGTCTCTGTAATGTTAAGCTCACTGGTYCGTCGCGGAATTTGTCCAAACTTCATTGTCACGAGGGGAATGTTTTCGTGCCAATACGAGCCGCCTGAAAGTCACTGGGGTACTGCAGGTAACAAAATGCCGAAGGGGAAATTTTATTCTTCGTCAAGAATAAAGAGACGGCCGAGGGAACCAAAAAAGAGTGGCCGTTTTCAATATATTCGAATGGAGCTATGTGATGAAGGTGATGCGGAAGAATTCTTAAAACGACAACCTGATGAAGTGTTAACCCCACATCAAGCAAGGAACTTCCTCTTTCAAATTTCCTTCGCTCTGTATGCAGCAGCCGAGAAGTTCAGTCTGAAACACTATGATGTGAAATTGCTCAATGTCTTCTTGCAGCGAATGCCTAAACAAAGTGAAGGCAATATCGTTCTTCGATATGGATTGGGAGAGCATACTTTTGTTCTGCAGTCGTCACGAGATGATGCTATCATCGCAAAGCTTGCAGATTACGGCACTGCCAATGTTGACTGCGTCTCAAATGGTCAAAAAGTGACAATTGCTCAATTTACCACACTTGAGAACACACCTCCCGACTTCTTAATATTAGGAGACGAAGCACTCCAAGGCCATGGACATGATTGTTTTGGCCTAGGTCTATGCATGCTTCATTTATTTACTGGTCACGCTCCGTATGAAGAAATTTTGGAGGGAGTTACTTGTCCGTCTCGTTTGAAAAAGGAGTTGCGAAGAATATGGGAGAACGAGGAAGAAACGCAGTTTTCGGTTATCAGGAGTATTGTTTTGGCCGATGTCTACAAAGATGAAGATGGCCATGTCATAGAGGGAGATCCTGATGACACTCTTTATGATACACTCTACAAATTTCTCGTTCTATTTGGCATTCCTGATGATTCCTCTGGATTCCTTGGTTCGAAGGTGATGGCAGCTGTTAAGGCTACTCTAGTGTCAGATAGTAGACAGAAGAAAGTTAGAACCCGCAACAAAATAGTACCATGTGACGCCAATGAATTTGCAAGGGACCGTCGGAAGTTCTCTCTTTCACATGGGAACAACCAATACATATCACGTGCTCGTACATCATTGTCGGTAAGTTCTTTTCCACGTTCTTGAATTTTGCACCATCAAAATATGAAGCAGAAAATACTCACCCCCAATGATCGAATTTGATAATTTTAGGCACTTGATGGCGGAATGGAGTTACTTCTTTCTCTGGTTCAATTCAATCCTCAGGTGAGGGCAAGTGCGCTTGATGTACTGAACTCGTCTTTTATGGCACCACTTCGAGAGACTTCGAACGAAAATCAAGGCTATGATGATGGGAATGACGAAGTTTTGTCATTTACTGCTTTTTCAACTCAGAAAAATTAATGATTACTAGTATTAGATTCGTATTCTGTCATCGTTGTCACTATTTTATGGACACGATAATACAAGTTTTGTGCGCGTATGACAAAAATGACTATTTATCAGTTACTATGCACATGAACTAAGCTTTTTGGAATGCGTATCTTCTCCACGCCGTCTGGAGCGGCATGGCCGTTATCATCGTTTAGTACCCGGGCAACCAAGTCATTGGACATTGTTGAAAATAGGATTAAGAATCGCAACAAAATCACGACATTTGAAGACATCCTGGACAGTTGTGCAGAGCATCGTGTAAATAACTATCGCAGTCAACGCAAAATGAGTTTAGACACTCAGGACACCTGAACCGCAATATCTCCTTTCCCTCGTCTTCACCCCCGCTTGCCCTGTTGGATCGTGACGGAACACCGATAAGTCGAAGACATGCGAAACAACTGGTAGCTTCTTCGGCTGTAGACAGGCGCAATTTTGAATCCAAAACAACAGATGACGACACTGGCAATGGTGCTATTTTGGAGGAACTAGTCTCGTTTGATTTTTTTTTGAAGGGTGAAGGAAGTTCGGAAAATGGTGCCACAGGAAACAAGTGGTGAAATGAACGTGCCAAATGAGGGCTCAAAACAAGTTTCAGACCACACACGACACAGTCCGCAGGTAATTCCTGTATCATAGCTCGGCATTGTGGACAGGTGTACGCAGTTCTTGCCAATAACTTGGTATCGCGTGTAGCGTGGACCTATTCAAATAATACATGGCACCGTCGAAWTTGTGAAGGAGAAAAGTGAGAGAAAGACTTAGATATTCCCMTCACCACMATTGCATGCGCACATCTCTTGACCTACCAAGGTGGGGATTTCTGATTTCTTCCTCTCTGGAAAGCCCATTTGAATCATTTCACAACCAAAGTCAAGCAATTCCTTTCGAATAGCAGGTGGAGGCACGCATTGCTCCAACAACCAGTCCCTCATATGTCCCTTGTCGAGACAAACACCCATGGCGCCACCCGTTACCTCTGCTATCTTGCGGCAAATATGAAGTTCGGCAGCGAGGGCAAAGGTTGATACACGAATATTTGCTGCCATTAGACGTGGTAATGTTTCAGTCAAAATATGACCGGGGTCGCATGTTGACAGTGCTCCGCAAACTATCATTATTTCTCGAGATCCGTGCCTTGGCTGGTGCCCGAGACTGCGACCCGCCACCTCGAGGCCATTTTGAAGCGAAAATTCGCTTYGAGTTGGATTCCATTGCATAAAAAGCATTTCGAAGCACCAGTAGTTGAGATTACGACCATTATTCTGTCATGCGATGCACCATAGATTCCTTCCATTTCTTTTGGGGAAAATCAGTGGTCCAATTTTATTTCTCGGAAGGCATACTTACCCACCTCCCGAAGATCCATCWAATCCAATTTTGGATAGATTTTTCAGTGCCAACTTGTGAGTCTTCGAACTAGATGATAAGTTTGTAAGTACTTCTGCCTCTCCGCCTTTTAGAATTACGAATCCAAGGTGCGACAAGGGATTTTGATCGTAATATTCTTGGACAAATTCCTGCAAAAGTTGCATGGTTACATCCAGTTTTGTTCCCCCAAGTACTTGATCTTTTTGTCGGGACCAGCGGCTGCAATCGATCAACACATACACATAACGGATCATATCACGGACCACTCTTCTGTTACGCTGCGCATAATCATTCTGTTCCAAGCGTTTGCGCCTTTTTCGGATAATATCGGCAGTGGTATCGCCTCCTGCTACAATAATTCTCCCGTCGGCATCCTCCTGGACCGCATTYTCCCAAGCATTTGTCGATGCTTCCCAGGCGTGCGAGGATTCTTGTTGGTTAGAACCATCTGCACCAGTACTCAATGCTGCGGCTGCCATTTTSGGTATAGATTGGAAACCCTTATGATGAYGAAGATTTGCTGTAACCACGGACTCAGAAGCTGGAATATTATGATAAAGATGTCGTGATTGTTGTGAGAGACGGAAAACTGCGGTTTGCTGATCTTCTACGGTACGAAAATAACATCTCTGATTCCGTAAATCAAATGAGACTCGAATACGTGACTTGTTTCCAATTTCCAACCATTTCGGTTGTTGTTGTTGATTGTTGTTGAAAGAGGAACAATACTTTTGGGGGATGGAGGCGAACTTGCTCTTTTYAGCTTTGAAGATCCATGAAAATTCCAAAGAAGTCCCGCGGGAGTCGACACGGTGGCGATCGTGAYGTTGTCAGAAGTCATAATTTGTGCAAGGACAGTACGGTACCGTACGGTAGAGTGGTACGTACCCTATTGTAGATGTGTTTTTTCAGATTATGACTTAGGGCAATGATCAGGGTCCATTAATGATGACCACTTTGTTTCGCCATGCCTCGATCATCCCTAGGTTACATTTAGCGTGAGATGACTGGGTATGAGTTACCGTACGGAGGACCTCCTGGGTAGAATAGACTACACCTATCTACGTACGATACTACTGCGTATTGTATTACTGTACTGTACTGCATTATTACTTCGTATTTATTACTTTTCCCCCGTCCAGATTTTGGTGTGCACTGAGAACAACTTAAATCCTTGCTATTGGGTTGGATGGATCTCACTCCGCATGATGAACACTTGACACTTGACACCTGACCCATCCATTCTKAAAGTTTTGTCTTCGATCAAGGTGATCTCCTGCTACCGTACAACAATCCAACTTCCTAATCACCTCTATAACACAAGAAAGATAATAACAACGATGAGTAGCATCGAGAGCGAAGAACCGATGAAAAAACTGGCGAGGCTGTAAGTAATACTTCCTTAGCGTATTCAAAACCTACGGTACATTTTGAGATATCGTGGAAATAAAATGGCGAAGTATCAACTTTCGTTACTATCTTTTTCTTGTTTAGTTCGATATCATCACCACGATCCCGATTTGTATCTTTCTGATGACTTGCTTTCTTTGCGTCCAGGTTGAAAAAGGCAGCCTCAGAGTTGATTGCTGAGGGAGATCCTTGGGCCAAACACAAAATGGAAAAGGTACCAGCTGAACGAGTCATTCGGCATATGTACCAACCAGATACTCAAACGTGGAAACAAGACCAGACCATTGTTAAAATGGAGAAGGAACCCTTTACAAACGGGGCAATGCGCTTTTGCTATCGGATGAAAAAACGCTCACCTCCTCCGCAATCTTCCTCCAATCATCGATTTCATGACTATGGATGGACCCGAGCTTCAAATTTTGTTGCAAAAGCATACCTCGACGATAAAGGAGAGATTGATACATCCGAAGAGGCGAAACAAAATGTTCGAAATGATATATTGTTGCAGTATGAGGCATCCCATTGGGCGTCGCGGTTCAATGACAAAAGCCCTCCCAAAAGAATCATTTTTATCCGTGCCTATGCTATCGAATTCCCTGATAGGGAAGGACAACCTTGGTTTGCGGTTGAACGATTTATATTTGGAAATGGTGTGTTTTCAAAACCAGTGCGCCTAGTATCTATCACTTTTTGTTATTGGCTGTGGCTAAACTCTCACGATCAATATTTTATTCTTCTTTGGCGGACGTGACACAGATATGTATGGAGCAGGGTTCACAAAACATAATACCAACTCCGGTTACGTCGATGACGATTTACGCCGAATTACTCCACAGGTGTGTTCATATTTCTTGCATGTCTCTCAAGAGATATTTTGAATATTTATGCTGGTCATCTTTTAGAGTTTGATGAAATGAATCATAAACTGTTACTTTTTCTGACTTAATKATGCATTTTTCATTCACGACTCTTTTCGAATCCCTTGGCATGATGCAACGATGAAACAATGTCGAGACAGGTTTTTTCCGCATTTTCATTTTACGAGTCGGAAGGAAACCGTTTGGTAGCCGATATCCAAGGTGTCGGAAATATGTTCACGGATCCACAGGTATTGTCTAGCGATTACCGTTTCGGAGACGGTGACCTCGGGCCTCGTGGGATGGCTTTATTTTTCAAAACCTTTCGTCACAACACAGTTGCAACTGCGATGGGAATTCCTGTGTTTCCTCTCTCGAAAAACGAACTCAAGCATCAGTCAAAATATGAAGAAGATGAATATTCGGCATCGGAGGATGATCCTTCTCTTCTCGATACTTTGAAAGGGTTGAATCGTTTTGAAAAAATGGATATCAATAGGAGTCGGAGACAATCGRTTTTACACATGCCACCGAAAGCAATCGTATCGGATGATCTTCAGGCAACTGAAAGAAGATCAAACATGGTGAAACACGACAAACCCAAACCAGTGAAAGATGTAAAGAAATCTCAAAATTTTGCTCGCCTGAAACGCACAACTTCTGAAGTTGATGAGGTTCAATTGTGTTTGAATATAGCCAAGGAAGATTTTGAATTTAACATGAAGACTTATCTTCGAAATGAGAGTGGAGAACTCATGCAAAAAGTTGATCGGAGGAAGGGATTGGCTAAAAGATCAAGTCTTATAATTCGATCAGTTTCAGCTCCGATCGAAATTTGCGACAGTACCAAGTTGAATCTTGGTCGAGTRCATTACCAATTAGCTATTTTGCACGGCATCGGACGATTCCCAGAAATTGTACCTTCAAATGATTCGGAAGATGCACCGTCTCACGACGTATTCTCGGTACTCTTTCATCTTGCTCATGCAGCCAGTCTACGATGCGTTCCAGCGTGCCTGGCGCTCGGAAGAATTCTTGCCGGGCTAGGAACATCCGTGAGTGATCTCTTGGATTCTTTCGTCCCGGTTGATTTCGAAGCCGCCAAGGATCTGTTGAAACGTGCAATGGAGTCAGAATTCCCWCCCAATGCRCCTAAGGTAGCAGCTGGTTGTGTTTTGTATCAACTTTATCTTGACGAAATTTCAGTGGCTCGACAAGGGATCAAGAACGATACAGAGGACGACGGTCAGGATCAACCTTTTACGAAGCAGTCAGTAGCATCAGATCTAGTCTTGATCAATCTACTAAAAGRAATTTTGGAGCTTATCGCAGCTCGTGACGATGAACGCGAATCAAATCGCCAATTCAAAGATCGCAAAGCGACCAGTACGCATACTTTCCGAGTGGGTGACAAAGTTCAGGGGGATTATTGCTTAGAAGGAAACTACTATCCTGGAGTTGTGGACTCGGTATCGGAAGATGGCACAATGGTTAAYGTCACATATGATGACGATGGAACAACTGAATCTTTACCAAAAGAGCATGTGCGAATGATTATCCCTCCCACTGCCACTCAAACCGAATCGGGAGGACCTCTTACGGATGAAGAGGCCGGCTTTGGGATAGGTGGYGATGAAACGGTTACAATTGCAACCTATCAATTAAGAGCAGATCTTGCAGAGTTATTGGCAAGCTCGGGTGATAAGATACAAGCGTCCGAATTGTACGAGGAAGCTGCACGYGAAGCAATAGAAGCAAAAAAGATGAAAATAGCTTCTGAGTGGAGTTTGAAGGCAGCTGAATTATTGGATTAGATCCACCACACAGTTTCCGATTTTATGTCTGATTKTATTTCTTGTTTCATAATGACTGCGTGTTTTTTGCCCTCTGTRCCAATGTCCAGTAAGTAATATTTGTAAATATGAAATCTACGTTATTCTCTTATTAAAATACAGGTTCGTCCAGAATAAATGCATTTTTTCTAGCTACCCTTCCGAGGACGATTATGATAATATAGTATGAAAGAAACGACTAAATGGACTTTCATCCAAATCGTTTTTGATCAAGAGAAGCCAATCGTTCTTCTGTACCCAGAAGAGCCGGTCGCACATAACCTTCTTCTCCTTCCGCATCGGTCAGGTGATCAAATACATCAACTTGAATCAATACATCCCTTAAAGCTTCTGCCTTAGCGATTATATCTGTCTCTTCCTGTGTAGGTTCTCTCTTTTCGCGACGTAATGACGACGCAATTTTGTCGGCTTCAACGCAAAGTGGGAGTGCTCGCATCAGATCAGAAGGTTGGTGGATATGACCTTCTGGGGCCATGTAAACATGTTCACTAAACAGGTCACGAAGTCCTGACGGAGTTGTCAAGAGCCGAGATACTTCTTTTGTCAAATCGTCGTTAGGAGCATTGTAAGGTCGAGTTATGCTTCCGAGAGGGAAGCAGCCCATTTTCATAACAACACTGGCAACAGTTCCAAGCGGACCTGGGAAATTGTCAGAGGCCTCTTTAAGAGCATCCTGGGCATCCTTTTCYAAACGAAGCATAGCGTGTTCTGTAATTGCCTCGAGACCGTCTACTCCGCGATTGCGAGAATAGTGATGTAGCGTGGAATATCCAAGGAAKATAGCCCCCATAGCATCAGCAAGACGCCCCATYAAAAGTTCTTCAAATTTGAGACGTCCRCCTAGGGTGAAGCACAAGTCAGCAGTCAAAGCAAAATTTGCTGACAAACGCAAGAGCTGCTTTTCGTGGTGAGCTAGTAGCTTGTCTCCGTCCCTAAATTCCTTTTTCGAGCGAGTCATGGATGAAATGGTTGAACCGACACCACGAGTGACTGATCGGACAAAGTTGGTGGCGCCGTGGTTCACAACCTTGTAGAATTGAGAAGTGAATGTCTTGATTGCTTTATCTTCTTCTTCTATTGGAGCTTGCAATGAGTATATGAGTTCTAGCATGTGTGGATGGCAACGCGTCAATCCCTGTCCAATGATTTGGAAGCTACGTGTCATAATGTTCGCCCCTTCGACAGTGATTGCAATCGGTAAACTCATATACGCATTACCCATAAAATTATTGTTGCCGCGACAAATTGCAGCTCCACCAGCAATATCCATTCCATGTTCGACAATTCTGCGACCGCGTTCCGTACAATTTTGCTTCATAATGGAAGAGACCACCATCGGGGCTTCATGATTGTCMACAATGGCGTTCATCAAGTCTGTCCCGGCGATGGTTATAAGAGCATCGCTTCCTGCTTGTGAAAGAGCTTCTTGGATACCTCCAAATTCGGCAATTGGCACCCTAAATTGTTTGCGAACTCTCGAATATGCCCCAATAGCACTGACAACTGTGCGTCCACACCCAGCTGAACCGGCTGGCAGACTGACACCTCGTCCTTCGGCCAAGCACTCTACGAACATATGCCAGCCGAAACCACAACGTTCCTGACCTCCCAAAATATTGCTCATAGGGATCCATACATTGTCTCCCTCGACYGTACCATTCATGAAAGCAGCATTCAACGGCATGTGTCGTTTTCCCATTTCCAAGCCTGGGTGGTCACGTCTTGTAAATGATGAACGAAAATAACGGGTGGTGAGTTTGAAGATTTCAATGAATGAGATGGCGTAATTGGAAAACGACATGAAAAAATCTGAAACACAGCTCAATATTTTGAGCACGACAAATCAATATACTTACTCGAGGAGTGCAACTGTAAAGCCTTCTGTTCCTTTTCCCTCCAGTAGACCCTGGGGATCACTCAGGTTCAGCCCGAGTCCGATGACACCAGCTACTGGTGCAAGAGTAATGTATCGTTTTTTRAAGGAGGCTACCACACCCAATTCGCCGTTTCTTTCTTCGACGACACAGTCACTCTGAATGAGTGAKGTGGCGTCACTACCGGAGTGCGGACCCGTCAATCCAAAGCATGGAATAAGAGTGCCGTCGGCCAACCGAGGCAAAAAATATTCCTTTTGGTCRTCAGTTCCGTATCGTGCTAGCAACTCGCCAGGGCCGAGAGAGTTCGGCACGGCAACGGTGGCATTGGCATCGAATGATTGGGTAGAAAGCTTGCAAAGAATGAGAGACACGGCGTGGGTAGAAAAGCCTTTGCCACCCCACTCTTTGGGAATCTTTAGAGCGAAGAACCCTTCGTCTCTCATGTAGTCCCAGCATTCCTTGTTAAAATCTTTCTCCATCGAAACATCGTGGTCGTTGAGAAGTTCACAAAGAGTATTGACCTCGTTGTCGAGGAAAGCCTGCTCTTCGTCAGTGAGCTTTGGATCATATGTATCTACCAAGTGTTGCAAAGAAGGATTTCCGGTAAAGATGTCGCGGTCAAAGCCAATGGTGCCGCAACCAAGTGCAACTTGCTCTGTTTGCGAGATTGGAGGCATCACACCTTTTGCCATCCTGTAAAGACGTTTGTCGAGTGCTTTGGAAATACCAAGGATTGTTCGACGTTGTGCAGCATTCTGTCTCATGTGGTCGGAAATTGTGGGGCTGATAGCACGTATAAGCTTCCTTGAATGTCCCATGGCAATAGCGGACCGACGACTTGTAGTTGCGAGCATTTTTTGGTATCTCGTTATCTTYTTCTATCTTCAGATGTGTCGACTGTTTTGTGCATTTTTCAAAATTAAAACGATCGACGAAGGAGAGATTCGACGGGCGCAAATAAGAGGGTGAGTTCTGCAGTCGCTAGATCGCCATAGCCTATTCCGTTTCTCAGTTCAATCCGAATCCTTTCCGAAAATTGGAAGAAAAAATTGAATCAACTTACTTCAGTAGTTGTTTGATTTCCCTAACGGCAACAATTATTTTTGCCTTCGTCGTTATTATTTTTTTCGTCTCTTTTGTTTCGTTTTATCAAAAGTAAAATTTATGACAAACAGTGTTGATTGTTGCGAAGGTCTTCGATTGTTTGTCGGAAACATGATTAGAATTGGATTCTTTTCCCGCCGTGCCAATTTTATTTTTGATTATTCGTGAAGTGATGCGCCAATTTAGCAAGGTGTGACTGATGTTTTTGATTGATGCCTTCCGTGGGTGTCATGACAAGTGGTGTCAATCACAATCTAAACCTTCTTTCGAAAAAGAACGAACTTACCGTTCGGGAGACTACGAGTACATACGTACTTAGCCTTTGTACGTATGAAGTACAGTACGAGTTTAATCGGAGTAAAATGAGTAAAATGAGTAAAATGCGTTAACCGGAAAAACGAAGAACCCAATCATGCCCTACAGGGCAAAAAGGCTTTCTACTCAAATCACCAAAATTATTGGGTCATTCCCGTAAACATTGATTCTAAGAAAGTTGAATTAGATTCCAGTCGTGCAGACATAGAAATATGTATTTAGGACAGAATTACATAGATTTTTGGTTCTCGCAGGCTCTCGGCTGCCAAAAGTATGTATGCAAACACATACTTTTTTGGAATCATGGACTCAAAAAACCCTTAGTCAYGAGCATCTGACAGCCGGTTCTCAAGTGTCACTGAGCCGGGGGAGCCCGCCAAAACAAATCTAAAGTGTCATGACTGTGTCAGTGTCACAAAATCAAGCRCGCCAAAACAAATCTAAAGTGTCACTGTTTTATATCGAAAAGATAGCTGTAGCAGCATCAAATGGATATCGATGCTTGCTGACAGAAATTTTGGATCATTAAAAAGGAACTGCGACCCCGACAATGTCGCTCGAATTCATTATCCTTTGTGTAGCTCTCCACAATGAGCTGGAKAAAGAACTGTCTCCAGAGGAGAGACGCAGGAGGGATAGGARAACCCCAAGGATTGYCATCAGGAGGTGGAATCAGTCTCCTTTCATCCACTTGTACAGTTCCGGCAACGAGCAGGCCCTCCTGAACTGTTGTGGTGTGGATCACGCTGTCTTCAGGGGTCTTATGGAACTCTTTGCACCAGTATTCAACATGTACATGATTGATGAGGCAACAGGGAGGATTAGAATGAGAAGCTTCCACAGGAATGGAATGCCAAAGGGACGCCACAGGGAAGCAAACGCGACATGCTGCCTTGGGTTAACAYTGCACTGGTTCAGGACCCGTGGTTCAGTTGCAAGAGGWCTGTCCCTGGCATTTGGTCTTACATCCACAGTGCTGTACAAGTGGATCAAGTTCTCCAGGTGTGTCCTGCTCTATGTCTTGYAAGACAATCCAGAYKYAAKGATCCAAGCTCCTGCCAGAGAGGATATCGATGCTTATATTGAGGCTATTGGGGAAAAAGACCCACTCCTTYRACAACAAAGAGTATGGGGCGCTGCTGATGGGCTGAAGCTTGGATTGCAGAAATCTTCAAACTGGGCAGTACAGAACATGTTTTACAATGGATGGACATGTGATAYGTATGTTGGTAGTGTCTTCATCTTTGCTCCAGATGGCAAAATTAGAGGAACCATCTTCAACTGTCCAGGATCTTGGCATGATAGCACCATATCAGACTATGGAAWATACAGGAGGATGGAGGACATGTATGAGTTGTACAGAGCAMAGGTTGTTGTCGACTYGGCCTYCAACTTGACTGACAAGCAATGTCTTCTTAGAACTTACCAAAAGGATCCAGATCTCCTTGCCAGCATCAACAACAATGTACTAGGCAGCAGCGCCAACAACAACAAYGCTGCTGCCAAAYGTGCYGTAGCTGTAAACCGACAAGCCACCTCACTCCGTCAGCTGTCTGAGTGGGGAATGAGGATGATCCAAGGCCAGTTTCCAAGGCTAAAAGACAGGATCAGGCTTGAGGAGCAAGGTGAAAGGAAGATCCTCCTGAACACAGCCATCTTGTTGTACAATTATCAAGCCAGCACTRTAGGCATCAATCAGATCCTTAATGTGTTCATGCCCAATGAAGAACAGAAGAAGGGGTTCTTCTCGCATGATACTATCAATGCCAATGCAAACAACTTGTTTTGGTGAGATATGATAGCCGCAACAATAATACGATAGCCGCAATGACGATGAATACGATAGCCGCAACGACGATGAATATGATAGCCGCAACGACGATGAATAGTACGATAGCCACAACAACGATACATTGATACATCCCAGAAAGAACAACCGATACACAAGAACACTGACAAGCAACAACAATACATCAATACATTCCAGCAAGATCAGACGCAACACCGACAATGCATACGAACAATGATACAATTCCCATGGTCAACACCCAGCAACGTACCATTTTAAACCAATAYAGCAGCACAAGCAATCAAGTGTAAACTAATTCATACAATGAGCAACTCATGGTGGAGGAGCAAAGAGCAAGAAAGCTACGCAATACACCGTGTTAAGTTGTATTTTGTACGGATTTTGTACACGATACACGATATTTTGTGTTATTTGAAATTTCATGGTCCGTTGAAGCGTTGAATCACAAAGATTCCCTTATAATGAGGCGGGAATAGAATCAATAAGAAATATACATATTGAATATAATGAATAAAAGCAATGCATGTTGGATATCCCATAACGAGGCAGGAATAGAATCAATAAGAAATATACATATTGAATATAACRAATAAAAGCAATGCATGTTGGAGTATCCTTAGGTGTCCATTGACTCTTGGGCGTCCATTGACTTTGAAAATTTTCAAAATATACTGAAGACTGTGTAGAAACAGTACTGAACAACACGAGCTAACGTGTACGAGTGAAGTTATTCTAATCCGCTACTGAAGACTGTGTAGAAACAGTACTGAACAACACGAGCTAACGCATACAAGTGAAGTTATTCTAATCCACTTGCTTTTTCCATAACACAGCAGTCAGTATAAACCAAATGGAAGATGGGAATTAAAGCGTAGTGATTAATAAGATAAATTGAATGTAGTGAATGTAATATAAACATGACAATTGACAATGGGATTCATGGAATCCTCGGAATCATCCAACGCGCTAATCAGAATCCGAATCCTCGGAATCATCGCTGGTGTTGCTTCTTCCAGAGCAACTATTCTTTCTCTTGYGACCAGCCTTTGGACTGAAGTGCTGCATGGCAATGGTGACAAGGGATCCAAGAGCGTTCCCAATTGCCTGATAGGCCTCCTTCCTTTCTTCCCTGGCTCTMACAGAAGCTCTCTCGCGCTGTTCAACACAGGCCTCCAATGCCTTAATGATGCCTTGCTGCTTTGAATTGGCGGAGTTGTAAGAACAGACATGAGGGGCTCTTCTTCYGGGTGTAACAGCTCTTGCTGTTGTGTCGGCAACTGCAACCGCAACAACTGTGCCATTGGAAGTCTGAGTCTCTTCCTGCTGAGTAAGTCCTTGTTCTTGCGAATCTTCTGTTTCTTGTGAGTAAGCTTGGAGTACTAGCTGAGGGGGKGYGTTGTCATTGCCCTGCTCATTGTCACRACTAACRTTGCCACTGTTGTTGCCGCTATTGCTGATTCCAGCTCCATGATTACCCTCAGGATCACCATTGCGGCCCTGAGGATGCACATATCCTTCTTCAATATCAAAGTGCTCTTCTCCATYTCCAATATCTGYCTTCACACCAATCAMGTACTTGGCCTTCTTGGCAAGTCTCACTGCCAAAGGACAGTTTGGATCTCCAGTAGGGATGTTCTTCCTATGAAGGGTTGCATACTTCCTAYGGATGGAGGAGACATCCCTATTGGTATCAGGATAGTTCTCAGCATGAGTCGCTTGCACTTCATGCCACTGATCACTCCCAATAGGAAGCCTTACCAAGATGGCATACATCAAGTCAATGGTTTCCTGAGTGCCATAGTTGCTTGAACTGCAGTATTTGTTTGTACAAATACCTACAGCAGTATTAACATTCTGAATGTTAAGTTAACATTTGGAATACCCCATGCACCAATGACATAATTTCAATTGATCTGCAATGTGTACTACTAGTACTGTACCTTTGTTCTTTCTTACATTACACTACTACAGATTAATTCAGAATAAAGTTTCAGTCAAAATTAACGCAAAATTTTTACCCAACACCAACTACTACTAGTGTAGCTTTAGCAGACTAGTTCTAAACTGCTAGAGCATCCTTTGGCTTCCCAATGTCACCATTCTTTGAGTAATTAAACTRTAAACAACTTGGACAGGGGATGAATAGTCTGATGTTCTAGAGTTGTTTTTTTATTAWGTTCTGGGATATTTCTAAACAGCAGCCAGTCTTGGAAACTGGCCAAATTTGGCTAAGGGATGACTGCACCCCCAGGCCTATAATCCTGTRACAATGATACAGGCCACTCTTCCCAACACTATGACTAGCACATCCCCAAAGGGTAGTAGGACATTAGAGGCCTTTCCGGAGCAGTTCTRCTAATTGTCCTCTTACTACACTATTTCTTCTATTGATGAAAAAAGTGTCAGTATGTAGATCTATGTAAGATCTGGTAATCCCCCCCAAAAAAAGCTGAGCTCTGTAGGCCCTGGGAGGCTTTCTACAATGAACACATTTTTCTCAAAAATTAACTTGTAGTACTGTTCATACTACAAATTTGATGGCAGATGATGCTTTGCAGACTAGTACACATGTATGTGCAGTATTCCATTTTTCTCAACTTTGATTGAATGTTCCCAA